AGAAACAATAGTAGGCGCCGTAAAAACACTGTCTCATGGTGATCACTCACATAAATTATAACTATTGGAAACAATAAAGACATTACTTCAATAATGGATGAACCAGGAGTAAATTAGTTTGTTATTCTTGTCCCATACCTTCTATTGGTCAAATAGGGAGAATTTTCTCAAAATGAACCAAAGAGCATAGAAGTAGTGTTTTTGAATGAGAAGACCAACTCAAAGCATATTTTGGTAGAGAAACATGAGTTCAATCATGACAATGACGTATTACATTTAAAAGAGGGAGGTTTGAAACTCTATCTTTTGGAATATTCAGAAATCAATAAACACAAAAACTAGCATCATTTGCTCTATGATAGAATAGGATTGAGTTTTTCTCCTTTGTTAAACTGGTTTTCTGGTGATGAAGAAATTAGTAATTGAATGAATATTTTATGTAAGATTTGTACATTTCATATACAAACTCATTTAACACGTGTAGAAACATGTTTTGTGAAATATTTAGTGACATTTCATTGATTTGGACTTCCATTCTCTAATAACATTGATATAAATAATTTATAAAAAATCAAAAAGTTCAGCTGAATAATAACTATTGCATTAAGCAATATTACAATGGAATAAAATACAAGTAATAGTTGAAAAATCAAAAACACGAGAGGAAAATTAAATATTATTAACCAGAAATGAAAATGAAAAATTGAAAGACTCCAAGCCAAGTTACTTCACACGACGTTTCGATTGTTAAAATCCACAATCGTCTTCGGGTGATAACGTCCTTCTCTCCGTTTCATCGGTTTTAGCGGGAGCTGACTGTTTGGTTGAAGTTGGTCGTGTTCTGCTTGATTATAGGTTTCCATATAATGCGTATTTCTATGCTAGCTTGGCTGAAGGCATTGTTGGACAACATATATGTGGTTTCTCTGAATTTTCTCCCAAACCAGTGTTCCTTCTTGTGGATGATTTCAGCTTGAGCCCACTTGATGTTATATTGATGAGTCCAAACATGCTTTGCTATTCCTGATTTGCTGTTTTCTCCTCGCTGTGTGTGTTTCTTGTGCTCGGCAAAGCGAACTTCCAATGGTCTCTTAGTTTCACCGATGTATGATTCTCCGCACTCGCAGGAAATCCAGTAAATGCAATTCTTGGAATCGCAGTCCGCGTTTGGCGGCCTGGTTTTCGTGAGGCTACTACGGATGGTGTTGCCAGATCTGCAGCAGGTTCTGATGTTATATTTGGACCCACTTCTTCTTATCCTTTTCGACAATCCTCTGCTGTACGTAAGTACAAGTACTGGTTGTAGCGGCTTCTCTTCCTTGTGAGGCTCTTGATGTCTTCTAGCCAAAGCCTGTTCCACCATTGTATTCCGTTGAAAGTCATTTTTGATGATGCCTAGTTTATTTTTGAGACCCTCCTTTGTATTACAGACCCGAAAGCACGGTCTAGTAGAGTCTTGATGATTCCTCTCTTAGTCGATTGATGGTGGTTAAATTCCTGGTTCAGATACTGCCCCATGTGAGTGGGTTTTCGGTAAACAGATGTTTCCCATTTGGTGTCGGTCCTCTTCACCAATACGTCCAAAATTCATTTCGTTGTGGACTTCCTTCTCCATTGTGAAAGTGATGAAGGGACTTACGTTGTAGATGTGCTTCAGGAAGGTGTCTACTTCTGTATTCCCATGGTACCATATTATGAGGGTGTCGTCAATGTATCTCAACCACACTCGGGGCTTCTTGTGAGCTTTTTCAATGGTCAGAGTTTCGAACCACTCCATATATATGTTGGCTATAACCGGTGAAAGTGGCGATCCCATTGGCAGTCCCTGATTTTTTTCAATGTCGCTTGTATTTTATTTCATTGTAATTTTGTTTTGTTTTGATTGATATAATTGTTATTTCTCAGCTAATCTTCTTAATTTTCCATAGATTTTTTCAGGGATTCCAAATCAATTTATATCATATTAAACAATGGATGTCCGAACCAATGAAATGCACCATGAAACATTGTCAATCACCTTCAAACAAATGTTTAGTGACAATTTCACAAATTACATGTACATACTGGAGTCTGAACAAAAGTCGTAAAACATTTCAAGTGTGTGGTAGACCAAATATACTGATTATCACACAAGATATTAATTGATGAAACTGCACGGAAAGTGCTATGTGGTTGTAGGACACAATATATTCAAATATTTTCAATCTTCATTTGCGAAATTAGTATGCAATAAATAGAGATAACCTAATTCCATTTCAATTATTCCATTACAAAATGGTAATTTTTTATTCCCTCAGTTGATTAGCCATCGAACGCGTTTCATACACTTCACCAGTGAAAAAAAAATATCTACCTGTTTTCATAACGAATGGGAATCTGTTCAACTAGTATATAATTGCTTCCATTCCATATTCCGCGATGAAAATCAAAGATAACATTGTTCATTACATTGTTTATTCACCCATATCGGAATTGAAGTATGTTAATAAATAAATGAACTTCAATGAACTTAATGTCGAACATTTCAAAAATGTTATACATAATGAATGAACAGTTTTTTCTAGTGTATTACTAACTGGATATGATTATGAGTATTGCTCGCCTAATGAGAAAAAAATGGTCTCTTCATTAATAAATTGAAAATGATGAAGAATTTCAAATTGAAATAAACATCAACTATCTAAAGAGATATTGACCGATTCTTATAAACTATTCAGAAATTAGAAAGCCGTAATTACATGAAATACGAAATAACACAAATGAAATGAAAAGAACGAAAACTTCATTCTATTATGAAGAAATATTTTGCTTTCAGGAATTAATGAGAATTCCTCTTCGAAGTAAGTATAATCACAAAAGATTTCAGAAATTTTCCGTTTCTGCCGAAGGAATTATTTCAGTTCAATTACAGTTTTCAGGATAGCTTGTAGCCTACGCCAGTAACAACTTCAATAAAGTTGCTCAGTTACGAATCTATCATCAGTCAGGTTCTCAACTTACGTATTCAAAAAACACTTTATTGTGAGATTTCCACTGAACAGTTTTACCAAAACGCAACACGTGTTTTGACATACAATGGCTCCTTCGGGCGTGTCTTTAGTGTAAAGAACAGAATATTCAGTAAGAGAACTGATCAATGCAAAATCTTCTGAGAACCTAATTTTGCCGACAAAATGATATTAATAGATCAGGACTTCAGTTGTAGTCTGTTTGATACTGCTTATAAATCGTAAATGCCATGATGGAGTCCAAGTAAGGAAATATTATGAACAAAATGAACAGTGAGAGAATATATCAATGCAACATCTTATAAAAATTAGTTTTGCTGACAAAAAGATGAGTAAAGATCTGGAATTATGCATTCCTCACGCTCCAAACCAACATATCCTCTTACGAAGACCCAATCTATAATATAGATAGATGACTCGAATGACGAATATCAATGAGGCTTCCCAAGGCGGTCAGTTGAAAAGCCACGCTTCTATGTCGACCGCTGAATGGGAATCGCTTTCTGTCCTTATCTGCAGATTTCATTGCTAGCATGCAATTGGATGATGATGATCGGAGTGGGTTAAACCTTATTTTGTCTGGAGATTGTTGAGATCACTCAGATCAAGAAAACAAGAATGGATATTAAAATGTAAGGCACTACTGTCGATCAAAAACATGTAAATTTGCATTTTGTAAGTAATTAGTAATCTTTGAATTGTTATACTCGATCATCGATAGTTTTTTTCCAAATGAGTAAACTAACAAGTCTGCAGTTAGTGAAAAAGTATTTTGTTTCATAACGTCATTGAAATTCTAAAATCAGGTACTGAATAGAACATAATTATTTTTATCCGAAATAAACCGATAGAGATACCTTTCGGTAGCACTTTGAAATTTCCAGAATATTTTGCATATGTAATAGTTTTATTGAGGATATTCGGTTTTTAATTTCACTGAAGTCTAGTCATTTGAATATTACTTCAGAGGCATTGGAAAACAACTGTCAAACATTCAAAGATATCTGATTTATATATTTGATACACTTCATTGTGGAATTTTCTCTGAACAGTTTACAAAAACGCAAAACGTGTTTTTTTATTTAACAGATTCTTCAAGTTTGGTTAGTATTGTGTCAAATCAACAGTGTTAAAAAATTGTGGTACTACTAACTGTAAATTTAAGAAAATAGGGGAACATTTTCAAAATATTCCATATGTCCAGAGAGAACTCGTTTTTCAACCTTTTCAATGTATGCTTTTCGATTTTCATTTGAAAAATCCGAACATTCACTTCTGTGGGATTCTATTGAATTCTCATAATGGAAGGTGGGTCAAAAAGTTGTCATAATCAAACCAAATTTCTGCATACAAAATCTATGAGAGTCATTAAGATTTAATTGTTTTTTAGATTGATATACTCTGTTATAAATAAACGCCTAACTGTTACCCTTCTGCTATTTGAAATCATCAAGTAATTGTTTTTCTTTTTTTTTCAATTTTTCCTGGGTTTTCAATGAAGAGCAATCTTCAAAGTTGTAATATTACCGACTGAAATGTTCAATTAGTCAGTAACTTGTATTTACAAGTTTTGCATACAAACCAAATGATTATTTTTATATGCAGTTCTAATTGAAATTTTTCTTTTCATTTAGGATTCTCAACATGAATTCAATTAACCTCCAATTTCAAACAAGTCAGAAATTAGGTATCATCGGAACTAGATAATATCAAATATTAGAACAGGCATGTGTTTATAAAGAGTAACGTCTTGAGGGTTTCTCGCATGAGAAAGAAATAAAAGCTTTCGTGATGTATGAAAATATCAACCACACAAATTCAACAGAAGGTCACCGTGTATAATTTTTTAAAATATTGAACTTTTCGGTGTTGTCTTACAACAAACAGTAAATACAAAGGTTTGAGTTTTTCTTTGATGTAAAATAACATTCCACATAATATAGACCCGAAACATACGAAATACCGATGACAACAGCAGTCGATAGGACAAACCTGTGATGTTAATTTTGGCGGACCATTTAGAAGTACCATCTAGTACGGACTGGTTTACAGCTTTCATATGGCCCGCGTGGTTTTTTTCTTCGACGCCGAAAACGGCCCTGTATATATTAATACGTGTATCATAGAAAAATAGTAAAAGGAATGAGTTAACCAACATTTCTAATGATAATTATTCAATGGTGCATGAGAACAAATTCCGGTGATATTATTCTATGGCACTAATAGATTGTTAATTTCAACCTGGAAATTAGGCAATGAAGAGATGAGTGACACTGAAGTGATTATGAAAGAAAAAACATGCACAAACGTTTACAAAAACAGTAGCATGCTCGAAGTTGATCGCAATGGAAACCTGAAAAAGAATGAGTGGTTTTGGTAATAGTATTGTTGCTTTTCTGAATATTTCACATATCGGATCCTCTGACTTTCTGTCGAAATTTTTTTTTCTCTGAGATCAGAATTAACTTCAAATTGAATAGTATAACTCTGGGACTCAGTTTCGATATAAATTTTGAATTTTCTTCCATTCAATATAATTTTGTTGAAATTATAGTGAATTATTTCATTTGGAACCTTCATAAGGAAACAGTTTGGTACATGAACAACACTTCTCCATCCTATGGATAAAAATTAATTCAATACAAAGTGATATTGTCCATCTTTCTTTAAATGTTTTTGAAGATATATTTCCTCACAATTTTGAAAGTATGAGGAAGCTGAATTAGGTTGGATGAACTGACAGTCAAGAATTCTATCATTTGGAATTTTAATATAATAGAAATATTCATCTATAAAAATATAACTTCAAAGGGAGCTACTTCGAAATTGGTCCAATTAATAAAAAAAAAACAAATACATTTCTTTGTTCTATAAATTTCATAGTAGAATGTTTATTTCTCTTGACATTTCATCCCGCAGCCTGAATAACATTTTATATCTAATCGTTATCCAACTGTTAAATTCTTTATACATGGTGTTTCCTAACTATGGTACAAAACTTCAGAGGGTGATTCGTTGATGAACATATGTCCGGAGTTGCTTCGTTTCTAATATACAGTACGTTGAAGTTAAAAAAGCGGTATTTATAAAATTTTCGAATTGGTTGAAAATTGCTAGTTTTTTTTCTAGCCCTAGCTAGATTGAAAATCACAACCACTGACCATGCCACTGAATTGTACTTTTTTATTTTTTGAGATTGATCAACTGAAATATACAACTTGTGTTTTCTTCATATCTAACTTCGTTTTCGGGAAAAAAAACTGAAGCCCATTTGCGCATCATAAACACCTACACTTTGGAAACTAGCTGGCATTGTTGTCATATCAGTGAAAGTCAGAGTTGCCAATTAGCAGTGATTCCATCATGAATAATATTGAATCTCATGAGTAATATTACTAACGCTGAAATGGCTGACATGCACTTCACTTATGGATTTGCAAATGAAAATGCGGAAGAAGCAGGGATAATTCATCAGGACAGATATATCAACAGAGTAAAATATGTAAAACTGGGAGTTTTAATGCAGGTGGTGGAAGACCAGAAACTATAACAACGCGAAAGCACTAGGAAGATTGCACTGCAGCTGGAAGTTAGTCCAAAAATTGTATGGACAGTTCTAAAAAGAAACCTTCTATAGCCATATCACATACAGCGGATCCAAGCTCTACTACCTCGAGAATTTCACCCAAGATTGATGTTTTGCAGGTGTTTGATTCATACGATGGTATACAATAATAATTTTCAACCAAATATTTTATTTGGAAAAAACAAAGAAAATTTTTCACGAGATGCTATTATGAACTTTCTTAATGGCCATTTTTGGCCGACGAAAATCCCCACGTTATTAGAAAAAGTCATTTTCAGCACGAATTTTTGCTTAACGTTTGAGAAGGAATAATTGGTGACAACCTAACAAAGCTAATTTTTCTACCAGCGAGATCAACAGGTTAGGTTAATCCTATACGGACGTTTTGCGAGATCATGTATGTAATTCGTTAGAAGAAATGACGGAACTTGTAAGAGGCAACAAGTAGTTATTGTACGACAGGGCTTCAGCTCATTTCAGTGTTATTGCTCGTCAGCATCTCGGCATCACTTACCGCTGGATTGGACGTGTAGGAGCTCAAAATTGACCAGCTCGCAGTCGAGATACGAATCCTCTAGATTTCCATTTATTGGGTCGTATGTAGGCTCTTGATGTGATAGTGAAGAACTTGAGGAATCAAATAATTTACAATTGCGATGCCATGAGGAATACTCCAGATATTTTTGAACGTGTCAGACAATCAATTACAATGATTTCAACGCCCTGTAGCTCAGAAACGAAGTACTTAACTGCGGACGTGATTCTTTTACGCCTTTTCGTGTTTTGTATTTTCTGAGACCCCAATCATGTAATACTTACTCCCGTCTTCGAGAAAACTTTTCGGAAGTTGGTAATGGTGTTTCTTATTGCGTAGCTATCGTGTTGGATTTTAGCGATGTTCTCAAAGAGCGGAAACAGAGGTTTGGTGTTCATTCTGAATCAATACTATTTTGGAGAATCGAACGTCTATATGTTTTATCTTTTCCACAAATGAACATGTCCATTCCATAACTTCGAAAATGAGTAACGAAAAAAAATTTAAGGAAATATTGTAGATACAGAAAGACTATAGTTTATCCATAGGATTGAGAAATGTGTGTTGATTCACATATGCTGTGGGGTTTGGATAAAATGACATAAGAGATCAAAAATTTCATCCCTTTATTTCCCATTAGATATATTCATTGATGAAAACCTTTTTTTAACCTAATTGGATTTTTGTTACAGTTTTTTGAAACATTTTATTGTTTGCGTCAAAAAGTTCTTCAATTTGTTTGCCTTTTGAAATCAAGTTGATTTTTTTGCGAATGAGATTTTGGATTCTCACCACTGAATAATTTCTCTTATAAGAAACACTCATTTATTACGATTTTTCCCAATTCGAGTAAAATTCTTACAATAAATCATGAATATGTAATCTGAGTATTTTATTCACATCCTCTGCATTGTCAGGAAAAAATTTGTATGACTCGTCTCAGAAGGCTTCAATAATTTCATATCTCATTTTTTTCTCAAATAACACTTTACTGTGAAATTTTCACTGAATAGTTCACAAAACCGTAATTTTACTTTTGACCAATATAAAGTTTTTGAAAAAAAGAAGACTTGGTGGTAAATTACAGAACAAATACTTATTTGAGCAAATTCAATAAAAACAATGAAGACAAAACTTCAGTGTCGAATAGTTCAGGAATAAATGAGTTGATTCGTGTTTTTTTCCAAAAAATTTACATCTGCCAAACAAGGAGATTTTTTTTCTGAAAGAATAAAATAGCATTTGCAAACTATTTCGTGGCAGCGGAGCACGAGTTCAATCAAGACTATGACGTATTACATCTGGAAGATAAAATGTTGAAACTCTTGGATATCAATGTGAAAGTTTGAAAATTTACTGAATGATAGAGTAGAATTGAATACTACTTCAATAAATCATTTTTCTGATTGGAAATTAGTTGATACGTAAATTATTGCAATTTTATTCATCACATGTCCATTTGAATGAGCTTGTGAAATGTATTTCCCAATATTTAAATTTATAATTTTTTATTCCTGAACTCACATAAAATCATGGAGTACGTAGAAAGTCATATGATTCTACTGTTAATTCATGTAAAGAACTATTTAGGTAAAATTGAGTTAGTATGAACACGCCTGACGAAGCTATTGTATAGCGAAACACGTGTTGCGGTTTTGTGGAATGTTTAGTGAAAATCTCATAATGAAGTGTTAATTGACTATGGTAGGCGAATTCCATCACGAATCTATATTGCTATATCAGGTGGAAAAAAATTTCGAAAGAAAATGTATATATGATTCGTTTCTGGTGAACGAGGCGACCAGTGGTGTTCTTACGATTAAAATCATCTCAGCTGAAATTTTTACTACAAAAACACAAAAATATAATGTTGTTTATCCACTTTTTTTCAACTTTTCACTCTTTTTGGGATTCTGGGAAGCTATGACTTCAATTACAGGTTTGAGTACACCTAGTCATTGATAAGCCGACCCAAAGGCAATCATTTATTCTTTCTTGTTCCTTTATAGCTGTGTCATATCAATAATTACGATATAGGTATCTATTTGCAAGATGGAAATGCAATTCGACAATTTTTGCTTTCCTTTTTTTCTGTTAATTGGTTTTTCAGTTTATTTAAAAGTAGAGAAATATCAATAAATGGTGATTTGTTGCATGAGACATTATTCAGAAGCGGAATCCCAAAAAAATTGCAATCAGCAAAATAAACTCGTAGCATTCATTTCAAAAATAATAAAAAATGGGAACAGTGGCTCCTCCTATCCTTCTTTTCATTCGAACCGAAACTATTAAGATATAATTTCAGATAAACTTTGATCATCTGCCTGAAAAAGAGCATGAAATGATAGTTTGATAGTTTCTGTAATATGTCAAAATATGTCAAAAAATAAGGATGATTAAATTGTTGGAAAAAAAACGTACCTGATGAGTTCGAAGATTTCCGGTTTCTCTCTTTCTCTCTGCTTCATTCGATCTTTCATAGCAGTAATGATGCTGTTGGCTTTATCTTCGGCACCATGTTTTGAGCTTTTTTCAGCCGCCCCTGTGGAGAAATTATAATGATTATTCCCCACAATGTCTATAAGTGATGAAACAGTTTGACAACGTTTACAGAGTTTTACAGTGTTTGAATGCTCGACATCTTGAATCAATTGAAAATGAACATATTATAGGGTCCTTTTTCTGGAAATAATCTGAACAAATAATCTACACAAACCAAACTTACTTTAACGAAATGCGTGTAATTCCAAAATTACATGTAAAATAATTTAAGATTAAATTCATCATATCAAATTATTTGCTTAGCAAAATTACTAAATTAGAGGAAACGAAATCTGAACTGGAGGACCGTAATCGAAGAGAATGCAATTTCAAACGTTTCATCTGCTACTGCGGCAGACATCATCAGTGTTATGTACGTTAACTTCGAAGACGAATGTTATATTTCAAAGTTTTTTGTTTTCTGAGCGGCATACAAATGACTGCTTCTGATAAACTTGTAAAATCGTTCCAGAATTTTGAAATCGCATAGGCCTAAACTGTTTCTTTTATATCTATTGAAACCACTTCTCCCTCACAAGAACTAAATTGCTGTCTCGCGTTTCGCTAACCAAGTCAGCATCATCAGGAGATGACTAAGACTGTTTTTTAAACGGTTTCATTCAGCTTGTTCCGGTTTGGTACAAACATTTAGTTTTCATAACAATTCAATTGAGTAAATTATGTATCATTGTGAATCCAAGATAGCCGCAGCTACGAACTGGCAGCTACAACTACCTAAATATGGGTATCAATTGACAGTAGTACACTTTGAAAAAGATACAAATTCACGATGGCCGCAGCTACAAAATGGCGGATTACCTATTTTTTCACAACTACTTCAATATGGGTATCGAATGACTAGTACAATAGTAGTACACTATGAAAAAGATGCAAATCCAATATAATCTATAGAAAGGAACTTGTCAACTTAGCCCGTGGGTTGGGCTACTTCCAACGCTAGAAAAAGTACTGGAACTGGCAGTATATGAACAACTAGTTACATACTTTAATGAAAATAATTTATTGATCAAAAATCAGTCTGGTTTTCGTAAGAATCACTCATGCGAAACAGCATTACAACTAACAGTCACAGAGTGGAAAAAAAGTATTGATAAGAAAGAATATATTGTTGCTATATTTCTAGATTTCAAGCGTGCCTTTGAAACAATTAATAGAAAAACTTTAATCAATAAGCTGAAGTATCATGGTGTAACTGGAAAAGCTTTAAACTGGTTGGATAGTTATCTTGAGCAAAGAAGTCAAAGGACTAAAATTTGTGATATAATGTCTGATCAAATTATAAATGACATAGGTGTACCACAAAGTAGTGTTCTGGGACCACTGCCATTCATTATTTATATAAATGATATCAACTATGTACCTGGTTCACACTATATTAATTTATTTGCTGATGATACCCTTGTATATACGGAAAACTGTGATTTAAAAGAAGCTGTACAAAATATCAATATATGTTTGAAGAACATTGAATTATATCTACAAGTGAATAAACTCAAATTGAATATCAATAAATTTGAGGCAATGATTGTTACAACAAGTTGAGGAAACCGCGCAACGACAGTAATGTCGCTGCACCTTCCAAAACCTTCGCGAAGGCCACCGTGAGACACCTCAAGGTTGCCAAAGAGATTGTGTGTTCGGCGAGTCTTGGCCTACACTTGTCAATATAAAGGAGATGCCTCCTAGTGACCTGTCCACCTTTCTGGAAAGGACAGGATGGACGATGACTCCCCCCCCCCTTCTACACTCAAAATCACATGTATTTTTCAGTACCTACAAATAATCTTATAAATTGTTCCCTTCTTATACTCTGCAAATAGGTACAGATCACCTTCCTTAGATATTGTTTTGTTGAGATACGTACGCGGTAACGGTGTTTGCATGAATTCAGCGCGTAAATAACAGAATATAGCTTGTTGTCTACTTGTCCGGCACACCACAGCACTGCGCTGTCTGTCGCTTAATGGCGACGGGTAGTAGCATCGCCCACTTGTCCAGCTACAACCAGCATACTGAAGATGTTGTTTGTTCGATTTCAAGGAAATTTCAGTTGACATCGAGCGGTGTCTATCACTGGTAGTTCTGACGAAGAAGTCGTCATAATAGTGGCCGCATTATTGAATGTAGAAGAAAATAGTCACAAAAAAGAAGGATGTGGGTCCATCCCGTTAATCAAAAGAGAGCAAATCTGGGAGAGTTCCAGACGCGGATAAATTTATCCAGTATGATCGAATGATTCCCGGCAAATTTTCAGAACTTCTGGATACTCCAGATTCTAGAGCCTGCCTCAACAAACAACTCAATTTTTCCTCGTCCATTTTTATGAGTACCGTCTGACACCGTGCTGACAACTGAAGGAATAGCAAAACAGAAACTTCCCAGGTACGTTTGGACAAGTTGATGCTGGCAGGCACTGGCGACGCTCACTTGGCCAATCCGTCACAGCACGTACCATTATTTGCCGGACAGGATCGGAGAGCTGGAATCTTTTCCGGCGGCGGACGCTCTTGGCTTTGCTGTGCCAGGCTAGTAGGCGGTTGTCCATTCATTTTCATTGTTTCAATCTTATAATAATAATAATGATATCGTTTTTATTATCTTCTAATACATTTAAAGCAAATTAATCATGTACAGTTCATGTATTATAAGAAGATAAAAGGCGAAGTTCAATTTACATGATGACAAGTCATCATTCAATTGCTCTTCCACTTAACCCACTTCCACATATCCGTATTTGGGCGGGACGGGCCGTGCTGTGCTGTGTCGGACAAGTGGACGACAAGCTTATAACTGGCAAGCCGAGCCGGGCGGTCGTCGTTGCCTTGCAACGGCGAGTCAAAGTAACATCACACGCCGCTTCTCGGCTTAGAAATCGCGCGTTTGACGAAAAAATAAATACACGTGATATCTTACTACAACTCCCATCCCTTTCCCCTTTGTGATATTTCGTGATTTTCACTAAACCCTCCCCCTTTCAAGCCTCACGTGATTAATGGACGGCTCCTTTGAGGTAAAAGGTTGAAACGTGCCGAGAACTGTGGCATTAGGGTGGATAAAAATTAGAAACTAAAAACTTGAAAATGAAATAAGTGAGTAAACGGCTTTATAGAAAAAAAAATATAATGCAGATGATGTACTGAAAACTGAAAAATAATTTGGAAGTTTCTAGGTAGCAGTCATCACACGACTATCCTCAGCAATTTACAGTCTTGATCAGATAAAAAATTATAAAATAATTGGGCGTAGCATAACCTGAGTAAATATGTAAATACAACTTTCAATACATTATCTTCATCATTATTATCTTTAACATAAAAAAAAAAGAAATTTTTTCACTTATTTTATTTTTATATTTTTTCAGAAGCCCCTGCACAAGCTCTATTCTGATTATTCACCTACTGTGATGATTATAAACGGTCATGAGGATGTGTTTTTACTCTTTGGCCGCAGTTTTCTTTCCTTCCAAACACTTGTAGACGAACATCTCCTTTATTCTTCTACCCTAACACGACCCTGCCTCTCCTCCTGTGGCAGGATAGTTTATATATCATTTATATATCAAATGACTAGATTAGGCTGAGATATTTCTCACAGTAAAGCAACAAATATTTTAAAGTTTTGTTCATATTGGCTTCGTAACAGGTATATTGCAGGTCCGAAGCACAGTAGAAATTATTTTTCAGATAATCGTTTCCCCAACAGCAGAACAAAGTTGTGAATGTCGTGTGATCTCAATGTAACGATGTTCACCTTAAGCAAAATTTACATTTTATTCTGTATGTACTTCCTATACGTAAATATGTTTCAGGCCTTGCTATATTCATAACAACGCCGAAAATCTGGATTTAACACCCCAAGAGAAACCTATTATGGATACATCATTATGATGTCCTCCAGATTCATAACCTCCATCAAATGTTTTTATGTTCTTTGAACGACGTAAATATGATTCAGAATTCAGATATTTTTCTACATATTTTCAATGCGCTTGATGTGACGATGTTCATCATACCCAAAATCAACATTAAATTGTTTATGTACTTACTTTCCTATACGTGAATATTTCAGGGCTCACTATGAAAAAAATCTCGATTTATCGCTTCAAGAGAAACGTACGAGAGTGGTATCAGAAGTAACCGGCCCAACAAAAAAACCCAAATATTTTGGAGAAAATATATTCAATCTTAACATGATCTCCTTGCAGCTCTATACACATTTCCCAGCGACGTTACAGTTTTTATAATAAGAATTTTGTTGCTCCTCAAAATAGCCATTAACTGCATTGTTTTTTCAAGTTTGACAACAGAAAATAATCCGAGGGGACTGAATCTGGCGAATAGGGTGCTCGAAGAAGCAATTCAAACTTCAATTCGTTGATTTTGGTCATTGCGATAATGGATTTTTGAGCTGTTGCATTGTCTTGATGAAACAACTTTTTTTATTAGCAAAATGCGTCCGTTTTTGAATGATTTCTTTACTCAAACGGTGCAACAAATTTAAATAATACTTGCAGTCGATAATTTTACCGTTATTAAGATAGTCAATAAAAATTATCCTGCGCATCCCCAAAAACCGATGACATGACCTTGCCTATAGACGAAACGTAGTTTGCTATTTCGCCTCCTTCGGAGCCGGTTTTCCTTTTTGAGTCCACTGTTTTCATTGTTTTTTTGTCTCGAGTGGACCCATTTTTCATCTATGGATACGAAACGATGCAATAATTCTGCTTTGTTGGTGTGGATTTTCTTCACCGTTTCTGGAGTTGACACCTCATTTGGTCGACCACTGGAATGCTCGTCTTGGCAGCTAGTATGACCTCGTTTAAACCCTGCTACCCGATATTTTACTGTTGTAAACGAAGGAGCAGACTCACCAAGAGTACAATCCGGTTCAGCTTTTATATTGGTTGGGCTGAGGCCTTTCAAATGAAAATATTGTACCACAACGAGTACCAATTTTCTCCATTTTCACAAATTCACC